TGGTTGCCTGCTTCCAAACCTGTCATAGTATGTTATTGTTTTTATATGCCATTGAGTCACCTGTGATGTATAGCGACCCTATGTACAGCAGCTCTGAAGCATTCCCTGTCCTGAGCCAGTCTCACTAAGTCCGACATACCAGCCCCCATCACCTCAATTATTGTATCAATCCATCTGATCCGGGGTCTCCCACACCTGTGTTTCCTCACCTGTACTATCTGTCCACCCTTCCAAGCATGATGTCTGTCTCCAAGGACCGGTCTCTCCTGGCCACGTGACCAAAGTAAGTGAGGCAGAGCTTCAAAATCTTAGCCTCCAAGCAGAGAGACTTGGTTTCACCTTCTTCAAGACAAATATTTATTTTCTTGGCAGTCCAAGACTCTTCTCCAGCACCACAACTCAAATTTTCAATTCTTCTTTTGTCATCCTTAGTAATTGTCCAACTCTTTGAAGCTTAACAAGTAATTGAGAATACTGTGGCCTGTATTAGGCGCACCTTTGTATTTAAACAAATATCACTGCTCTTCAGGACTCTGGAGAGGTCCATGACAGCAGATTTTCCCAATGCAATTTGTCTTTTGATTTCCTGACTGATGGTGTTAAGAGTGTTAATGGTAGATCCAAGCAAGCTGTAATTGTTAACCTCAATCTCTTCTCCATCCATCATGGTGCTGCCAATTGGCCCAATGGTAAGAATCTTTGTCTTCTTGATGTTGAGCTTCAATCCATATTGCAGACTACAGTTCTTGACCTTTTGCAGCAAGTGCTTCTGGTCCTCCTCAGTTTCAGCAAGCAAGATTGTGGCATCTGCATATTATAGGTTATTGATGAGTTTTTCTCCAATTCTGATGCCACACTTCTCCACAGAAAGCCCTGCTTCCTGAGTGATCTGTTCTGCATACAGATTTAAAGGGTACGGGGAACAGGATGCATCCCTGACACACCCCTTTTCTGATTTTGAACCATGCAGTGTTTCCTTGCTCTATTCTGAGGACTGCTTCTTGGTCAAGTATAGGTTTTGTATAAGCACGATCAAGTGCTCTGAAATTCCCTTTTTCCTCAATGTTAGCCACAATTTATTGTGACCCACACAGTCAAATGCCTTTGCATAGTCAGTGAAACACAGACATTCTTCTGGTACTCTCTGCTTTCTGCCAAGATCCATCTGACATTGGCAATAATGTCCCTACTGCTACAACCTCTTCTAAACCCAGCCTGTATTTCTGGTAGTTTTCTGTCACTGTACTGTTCAAATCTTTCCTGGATAATCTTCAGCAAAATTTTGCTAGTTTGTAATATTAGTGATATTGTTCAATGATTTCCACACTC